CTTTTGATAAAACATCAAATTACCCATTGAATTACAAAGAAAGCGATAAATTTGACTCAACTTTTCAGATCGGATTAATTCCTTAACTAATAATTAACAAAAGAGTAGAAAGCAGACAACATCTCACTTATCCTTGTACATGTGCATAAAAATATGACGTGCTAATAAGTATTAAAGGACGAGAAAGGGATAAAAGACAATTTCCCAGCTACACTGAATGGGTATCACCTAGGGACTATGTTGTCTGATTTGGGTGCGGTTGCGAGAGTCGGATTTGGCAAAATCCAAATTTTAAGATTTGAGGGGACGTATCCGAGTATGGATACGGGTGCGGGGATTTGGCTAAATAAAATTCAACATTACAAAAATAGAGTTATAAAGATATTCTAAGTTTGAGAGATATTTTGTGATAAACTTACATGTATAATGTAAAATTCAATCTTTCATTCTTCAAGATGGCATTACTCTTCCATTCCTCCTATGAAGACAACAAAATAAAAACTAAGCATTAAAAACATATTACAATAGAATAAATATAACTAAAAGAATAAAAAATATATTGAAAGAAAAGAACTAACCTCATAACAAGGACAATAACTCTTGAAATAAAAAATATAACTTGAAATAAGATCCCTTAAACAAAGTGACAGTGGAAAACTAGAGTTATTAAAATTTAAGATATAAACAAAGATATTAATCCACGATTTAGCTATTCATAATTAGTGAATCACATGACTAATCAGTATTCAGTACTCCAAGTAAAAATTCACTAACAAAAAACAAGAGAGCATCTCAAGTTAAGTCATAACTCATAACTAACAGAACAACAAAGTATTGTCAACTAGCAAGTTATTTAAGTTGGCTACTCTACCGCATCTTCTTCAACTTAAAAAATACCATGAATAGTATCAAAAAAGTCTGATTGGCGGAAATGAGATCTTTCCCCTCATGCTCAAAGATTATTGTCTTAACCTTCTGGAAGAATTAAATGCTCAAAGATTATTTTCTTAACCGGAAATCAAAGATTCTTTTTTCTGGCATTTATATCCATAGCTGTAATTGACAGTCTGTAGACCTTTTCTCTATTTATCATTGCCTTGCTTTCTGATTACTCTGTCAAATTTCTGGGATGTTTATTATTGCTGCCATTTCTTTGGACTTGTAAGCAGGTGTAGGGGAAACTCAATTTCATGTAGTGCTAGCCCCTGGCATTGCCCAAATTGGGCCTACCTACAAGGCTGTTGCGGTCAAGGAGAGACCTGGAGACTTTTCTACTTGGCTCACGGCGAAAAGAGAAGCACAAGTTGAAAGTCTTGATGGTCTGACTATGTTAGATCAGATCTATGATGAGGTAAGATAGAATAAAACTTAAAACTCGCTAGAATGCTATGTAAGGGTTACGACGGATGGGACCTTAACAAGGCAATTTCTAAGATAAGATGGACTCGGCTGCCTTCCCCGCTAAAAATCTTTCCCGACGGTCGCTCAAGCACTTTCACGCAACAAGAGAGCAAAGCGTATCGTATCTTGCGCCATCCGAATAGGTTTCAAAGCAAGCAGTACGGCGCAACAGAGGAAACAACTTGTAATGTAGATTGTAGTCAGTTAATTAGATCCAACTATTTAAGTAGCTAGTTATAGAAAGAAGTAATTCACAGTTGGTTTTTCCCTAATGAAAGGAGAGGAAAGGAAAGAGTAGTGTATTTGAACACCGCCTCATAGTAATATGTTATCTTCCGTTTCCCTTTGATACTTCCATCACAGCTAATTAACTAAGTCTTGAAGTTGAGATAGTGCTGGGTCACTAAATCTTAAAACTCCATCTCTCTATTTGACCCCCCAACACACACATAGAGGCACTGGCATTAGGCTAAAGAGCATGAGAAAAGAGGGCTGGTGGGTTTAGCAAGATGCACATTTACATATTGGTCTTAGACACACCAGAATTTTCCACGTGTTAAATTCATATCCCTTCGGGGAAAGCGTTATCCCCTTCCCACCCTCAAATACCCCCACCCACAAAATCCCAGACCATTCCACTGTGCCAGTTGGTACAAATCGAAGATGGCAATATCTTTTGACTCTTGGTCGCATGGAAAAGGTATATTCTAAGTGAAGCAATGATAATCTAATTATATTTCTGATTGTAGGACATCCCTAAATGGTTTAGAAAGTTATTATGTGCGAAGCCTAGTATTTTGTGAAGGTACTACCTAGTTGGAGATAGTTGTCTTGTTTGCTTAAACATGATTAGGTTGAAGTTTGAAAAGGAGTAGTTGAATTGAAGTGACATACTTTATTTTTATTTTTCAAAATTGTTTAGTTAAGTAGCTTCAATTCACTGCATATCGAAGCAATGAAGATAATTCTCACTTTTCTTTCTGATTTCACTTCCACCAGTTTGGAGGTGATCTTTATTGTTCTGCTCTCTATATTGGAGTCTCTAAAAGAAGAAAGTGCTCAATTGGGAAGGAAAGAGCAAGTTGGATATATTTGCAGGAATTCCATGAGGTTTTAAGGTAAGTTATAGTGCTCAGGCTTGATCCTTTTTTCAACGTGCAACTCGTGATATTGAAATCTTTTAGATTACATTCATGGAGAAGGTCGTCTTAACTTTTTAATGCTCAAGCATTATTTGTTTTTGAAAGTTCAAACACACTTCTTGTGGTTTTACTGGAAATGATATTTTTCTTTTATTAAGTATATTGTAAAATTATATCATTTCAGCCTTGTGTTCAGTTCTAGTCTTAATTTTCGTCACATTATTTGTTTGGGAGGTGGATAATGTGTAGAGCATGCTGGCCGTGAATAGAAGCATGGAGCCCTCCTATTCTTCGGTTTTACTTCTTTATACCCGTGGATATGCTTGTCAACACTTTTTAGTTGAAATCAAACAATGTTGAAGACCTATTTATGCTTTATTTTCCCTTCATTTTGTAATTCAACATAAAATCTTGCAGAGGGGATGAGGAGTATCTGTATGTTAACGGTGTTGGAATCAGAAGTGGAGACTCCTTCCAATTCTACCTTGCGAATGCTAATGCTACACGTGATTCTTGCAACAATGCATCAAACAACTTAACATGTTTGAAGCGAGATCTCGACCACCAAAATGCTGGTCGTTCTACTAGTAACAATGTAAATAGCAAGAAGTCAGTTTTTGGTTGTATCATGTTCTCTTGCTGTGGTCGTGGCGAGTTTTTTCTTCAACCTATTCTTGATTGCTCACCGTTCATGGAGAACTTCCCTGAGATTACTTTTTCTGGAACTTTTTCTGCTGCAGAAGTTGCACGTGGAGATTTAAGCCCATATGGACCGGTGTCTGAAGAACACAGTTCTCTACGCTGCTGTTTGCACGTGTATAGCACTGTCTACCTGATTATGTCATACACCGCTGCATCGCCATCGACATGATAGGTGCTGGCACCATTATAATTTACATCTGTAGTTGCTAAAGATCATGCTGCCATTGACATTATATGAAAGCACCATGGGTTACTTCAGCAAAGCCATTGGAGCCTGTTGCCAAATTTGGCCTTCTACTTAGATTAATCCTTTTGTTGTAACTTGATATTTATGTAAATTAAGCTCCCGTTTGCACATAAATGTTGAAGTTGAAACTTGAAAATGTCGAGTTTTAGAAGTTGTATTTGGACATGCATTGTGTTTGCAATTTTTTCTTTTGAAGATCTGTGCGTGGAAGTCCCAAAAATAGGCTGTCCTAATTTTTGGAGTTTGAAAATATTTGAAGATCAAAATTTTAAAATTTATGGTCAAACTCTAGCTAAGTTTTGCGAATTGTTCCTCTACGTTGGTTTGTTTTGTGCAAGCAAAGAATTGGTCATAAAAAGAAGATAATTTCCTTGCATTTTTAAACTTTCCTTGATTTTCATCTCTTTCCTTTTCTCTTTACTTTAACAAAACAAGAAAGAAACTGCAAAATTTTCCTTTACTTTCCACTTTCCATAGTTACCACTTACCAAACACGTTAAGAAACCAAAGTAAAAGGCTTTCTCACTAAAAGAGGAAAGAAGAATTAACCTAAATTATCACCTACCCAACCACTTAAACTAAAAATAATCGGCAAATGTATAATATATGTATGCTTCACGTATAATATGTGTATAATCAAAGTATAATTTATGTATACTAGTTTTAACAAAAGTAAACAGTGAATCTGACTGGCTATTTGTGTAAAGATTCCTTCACTCTTGAAAATGAAAAGTTGGCAAGAATGAGGATACCAAATCGATATGATATTACCTTTGTTTCATATTAGTTGTCCACTTTCTTCTTTACACACTAATGGCGAAGCCATGATTTTTAATATAGGGTTCAAAATATGAATAAGTAAACACATGAGCTAGCTGAAGGAGGTTTAACATATACTATATATACATAAAAAATAATTTTTACAACAATAGGCCCAAGCTGGCTCCACCCCTGTTACAACAACAATAAAATACCCGGTGAAATCCACAAGGTCTGGGGATGATAGAATGTAAGCAGACGTCACCACTACCTCGTGAAGGTAGAAAGACTGTTTTCGAAAGACCTTCAACCCTGTTACACTCCCCTTAAAAATCATAATTTGAGATAATTATTTATAGTAAGATGGACAACTAATATCGGAAAGAGAAATAATCTAAACAATTCTTTTTAAAGAAAAGAGAAAGAATCCATAAGTGGGAAAACCAAAAGTGCAAGACGGCAAAACCATATTTAAGGTACCTTACCACATTTAGAAAATCCAATATTTCCTTCCAATATTTTCCCTTCCAATTAAGGTAGTACTATTAATTAATTACCATTTACCCAACAATTCAACTTAACCATAATATTATTTCTATATAATAGATGATGAATCAGTTCACATTGGCAATTATATAACATCCATTGTATTTGTGTTAAAAAAAAATTAAACCAAGACTCTTTTTAATCCTTTTTTCTTCCTCTCTTATTTTAATTTTTTTCTTAGGGTTTTTCAAACTTTGTAATAAAAAAAAATGGGAAGAGGGAAAATAGAGATGAAGAAAATTGAGAACACAAGTAGTAGACAAGTAACATTTTCAAAAAGAAGAGCAGGACTTTTTAAGAAAGCTGAAGAATTGTCTGTTCTTTGTGATGCTGAAATTGGTGTTATTGTTTTCTCCAATACTGATAGGCTTTATGAATTTGCTAGCTCTAAATCCAGGTATACTTGCTTTGAAAAGTGTTATTTGAGTCGAGAGTTTATTGAAAATCGAATTTATATTTGCATAAGATAAAATATGCGTACATCCCCTTCTCCAAGCCCCATGAAATTATTATTAGTACTAAATTTATTTGAATTATTAAATTTAATTATATGAAGAAAAAAAAAGAATAATTTTTTGGGTGAAATCTTGAGTGTTAGGTAAGGTGATTGTGATTAATCCATTTTTTTGGGCACTTATTAGATATTATATACATTTTCATTTTTTGGTAAATAAGTAGTAATTTGTCATTTAATTTGATTATTGTTCCTCTATGTTAATATATGTTTGTGCAGCATGGAAAAAATTGTGGATAGATATAACAATTCTTCACATTCATCTGAGCATCCTACAGTTGAAAATTTGGTAGAGGTATTAGATTATATCTAAATTTAATTAATTAATTAAGTAATCAATATTGAAGTAATTAGTCACTAATTTGCTTGATATTCCCTTTCATTAATTTCAGCCTGAATTGAATTCCTTGAAAGCTGAAGTTGCAAAATTACGAAAGGCTACCGGGTAAGCTCTTTGAAGATCGTTACTTTCTTCGTCTTTAATTTATGTGATATCTTTTAAATTTCAAAAATAAAATGATCTCGATCTTTTTATTTCTTTTAAATATTTCAAATTGTCAATTATTATGCATTATAGTACTTTTTATATAGTTTCCAAATATGTTAAAATCATGATCAACAACAAAAAAAATTGACTCTCGAAATTCAAACAGTGTCACATTAATTTGATTCTTGAAAAAGCTGGATTAATTTGACCTAAATATGTAGCCTAGAATAATGACCTATGAGAATTTCTTCAAAATATTTTTAAATTTTATATTATTTGATATGTTATAACTTATATATAACAATAATAAAGAAAAAAGAATAGTTTTGTTGGTTTCATTTGATAATTAAAAAAAGTTATAAGAAAATAAAATTAAAAAAACGGTTAGAGTTGGACGGATTTTGACATGATCGATTGTTTACCCATCTTAATCCAACTCATCTCAGCTCAAATAATGTATGAGTGGATTAATTTAACTCCGTTTATTTATCTCAGCTCAAATAATGTACGAGCGGATCAATATAACTCCGTTTATTTTAAAACGTCTAAATTTATTCTAACCCGTCCATTTGATACCTTGATTATCAGTATATATAAATTAAATTCTTCGTAATATTTTACATATTTATAAAGGAGGATGATGGGGAAAGAACTAGATGACCTGGACTTCAAAGAATTGCAGCAATTAGAGCATCAACTAACTGAAGGCATTTTATCTGTTAAGAATAAGAAGGTAATTAATCCATCTAGCATCATTAATCAATATTAATTATGTTTAATTATTGTTAATTAAATCATCTTTTGAAAACATGTCTATAATTTTTCAGGAACAAGTACTGTTGGAGCTACTTGAAAAATCAAATCTGCAGGTACACTTTAATTATTGTAATTACATATATTAATCTTTTGAATTAAAGTAAATGGAAGAATATTTAAGCTTAAAAAAATAAGAAAGGGAAACAATGCAACATGTTATATTAAATTATGTTTCATCGTAGTATGGAAACAAAAAACACGAGGTGATTTTTTTTCTATATACTCAAATCTTGACCGACAGGAGAGAAAATACAGGTTAAATTATACTGATAGTGTAAACATTATCCACAATGGTATATAAATTCATTATTGGAAACTTAAATAAACACTTTGTTATTTTATTTGTTTTTAATTTTTCGAATATTGATTATGGTCTAATATTTTGATTATTTTTTTAAAATTTAAGATTGAGGAACTTGGACACAAATCCTGTAATCATTATCCTGAAAATTATGAAGCAGCAAGGAAAATTTCTGGTGGAAATTCAACAGTTATTTGTGATTTTAAATCAGTTGGAGAAGAAAATTCAGACACTTCTTTGAGCTTAGGGTAATGTGAACTCAACTTTTTCTTTCTGTTTTTTCCTTTCTTATTTCATAAGGGTCGCACTTTAATGAGCGTGATGTAGACAATCTATTTTATTGCAAGTATTAGTGACTGTTTCTAAAGCTCGAACCCCTTGAGGTCATATAAAGACAACTTTATTGTTGCTCCAAGACTCTCTCTTGACTAAAAAAGAATTCAGATATATACATCACAAGATTTACGAACATCGTATGACTTATATACAATTACTTATAGTTATTTTTAGGCGATCGTTACTAATATGTTTTTTTTTTTTCATTTGTGCAGACTATCAGTTGCTACAAGTCAGAAGAAAAGAAATCCAAAAATTGAATGCACTTCAAATGATTCTGAGAATCTAATGATTTTAGATTAATATTTTCTTGAATACAAACTCACATTTTCATAATATTTATTGTTGTGTTTATGTTTTTAGGCATTTTGCGCTACCTATAATTCTATGTCACTAGAAAGTTGTAAGACCATCACATTAATGTTGTGTATTTTTTTGGTTTTTCATTCGGAGTCTAGTATTCGCCTTGAGGTTTTCTGATTAATCAAATTTTGTATCGCATAAAATTCATTTAAGAAAAAAAATACTCCCTTTTAGAATTTTTTCTATTTTTATGACTCAAACCAATCACTTGCATAGAATATATAATAACATGTAATTACAAATATTTATTTTTAAAAATGACATAGAGATATATGATTATCAATTCAACGCCTTAGGATTTTTCGATACCTTGTTTATGAACTATTATTTGCTTATTTGATAAGATTATTTAATAGTTGCAAAAGTTGAATAATTTTCACAAATAGCGAGGCTTTTATGTTTATGAAAAAAAATACAACTTAAAAAATTCAAATTATATGTCCAGCCAAAATTTCAACTCCAAATCAACGCAATTTCAAATCATTCATGTCTGACCCTAAAAATATAAATTGTACACATGATAGAAAGAAAATAAAAGTCACACCATTTTTCAACTCCGACTCTAGATCCTGAATTCACCTCTGCCTACTCGTTCTAGTCTGGTCCTATAGTACGCGGACACGAGGCAATATGTGGTTTTGATTACAATGCAAAAATTTTCTTCTGGCAAAATCTCCCAATATGAACACTCGAAACATCTTATCCTATCAATGCCAATGACAAATGTCACTATTGTTACACTAACCATCAGGTCGATGAGGCTTTCCCAGGAGATGTTTTCTATTTACATTCCCGTCTCTTAGAAAGAGCAGCTAAACGATTGGACTAGATCGACACAGGTTAAGGCTAAACCGATAACACAACACTGCCAACAAATTGGGCTAGACAGAAGAAACAACATTTCTTAGTTAGTACTCATACCACCTTAGGTTGGATTTGCTCAAAGTCAAAAACCTCAAACATGAGGCGTCTTACATCTGGCTTACCATAAATAGCGTAAGAGAGTCCATGGATAGCTTGTTGAACGGAAGTTGTAGCTGGATTCCTGAGCCTACGATTGTGCTCGAATGCATCCTGAACCTCCTCACTGTATATGATAAAGCGATGTAGATTCTTTTCTCGCAAATATCTCCCACAGAATTTGTTCATCACAACACGCCTGTGTCTCTCTTGCAGCCATCTCCCAGGAGCATCGAGATGCTTCATAAGTAATCTTTCCGCCATTACCAAATCCTGTATCACGAGAAGGAAACTATCAACGTTTTCTACAATCGAACTTGATGCTTAGCAGACTCAGCTGGCATTAGTGTACATTCTAGATTAATCGTCATCCATAAACAGAAAGGTGGCTTCGTTTTCCTGATTCTGTCCCAAACACAAACTAGAAAACGGAACAAAAGAAAGCAACGCAACCACATAAATCTAGCCGAAACATTATCACATACCTGGATTTTTTGACCAAGATACTCAAGCCGCTCAAAGCAAAACCTTGGATGCTCAAATTTGTATTTTGATGGGTGCAAGAAAGCGAGCTGCAGTTTATATAGCAGAAAAATTCGCAGTATAGGTAAGTTTTTGCAATACTCATTGATAGACTTATGGAAAGAGACATCATGATACTGATATATAAACAAACACCATAGACAACGAGACGTCAATCAAAATGGAGTAAAAGAATTTAAGGTCTTTATAACGGGAGGGGAACAATAATATAAAGCCAAGTAAACAACAAATTGGATTTGATAATTGACTTCCGGAAGATGGTTAATGTTGTATGGCATCAATAATTACAAAAGGCTAAAGAGGAACTTACACTGTAAAGGCATATGCAGTTTGTACTCTACTATAACTCCTTATTTGTTAAACGTATACTAAGTTTAGAATTTAAAACCATACAAGCAATTTATTTTTTGATAAGGTAATTTGCTCCCTTGATGACTCGAGCCCACAAAAAGTAGTGGTTTTTACATGTTCCTCACAGATTGTTGTGTTCAAACTACAGCCTGAAGAGTAAATACCTGTAAACCAAGTCCAAGTTCAATGTTTCTGGCTTCAGTAATCTCAGGAATTCTATCATTCATAGCCAATGGGTACCCCAGTGTCTGCATAACTTGAGGTCTGCTTGTATAATCCCATACATTACCACGGAACCTATGCATGCCTGGTGGAACACACGCCCTAAAAACCCTTGGGTGCGCAAAAAGAGCATCCTCTGGAGGCTGTCAATCATAAACACAGAAATGAATAAGGAATTTGAGTTCAGATGGTCATTTCCTTTCTTCAAGTTGCAATTGTTTGCACTGATATATTTGAGCAAGCAATTTATATTAAGGTGAATAAAAATGCATTAATATGAAGAATGAACAAGCACCCGTATACAAGTATACCAAGAAAGTAGAAAACATTACAAAAATATATCAAGAGATTCACGTATGTACCAGGTATACTAGCTTTTGCATGTGATTCTTAGCTTTTACAATGCGATTGATACTAGTGAAAGGACTTATTCCTTCTCCCTACTTTTTTTTATAAGGTAACTTTAAAGAGTTAAAAAAGGATCAAGAGAGTTCTGAAAGTTGCAAACTAAGTAACAACCTAAACAAACTAAAGGTACATTTTCCCTACTTTTTCCCCTGTTTTTCTTCAAAAGGAGGCTAATATTGATGCTTGTCGCAGTATTTTAAGTTATTGGAATTTAATCCAAAAAAGAACACTCTTTAAGATTGGGTGAGAAAATTAGACATTTATATAAGATAAAAAGTTCAGATCTTGCCTTATACGCAGCAACATCTTGCCAGCTAAGCTTTCTGCCTTCAAATTCTACTGAGACATAGTCTACGTCTTCCAACTGTCTCCTCAATTTGGGCTGGCAGTCTTCAGCCTCAGGATCCATTCCAAACACTTCAAATAGGACCCGATAAACTTCAGGCATTCCAAAACACAAGTATATTGCTCCAAACAAAGCCCAGAACACAGATCTGTCAAGTAATCATGGAATTCAAGCTAGTATGAGGCAGTGGTAGTAGCTAGGTAGCTAAATAATATCACAAGAAAACAAAAATCATGCGGATAAGAAAGATCAGGACATTGAAGAGCATCATAAAACAGGTTCTACCAAATGAGAATTGTTACATGGAATAAATCCATTACTATCATAAAAGTGGGAAGACTCAAAGTGAAGTATTGATAGACAAAAATGTCCATATAAGGTTGATGGGCCTCTTAAAATGCATTCCTTGACATTAATGTACAAAGAAACAACTACAGACTAGAACAGGCTATATTAATCATGTTCAGACATATTGTGTTGTAAGGATCTATAGTTCAAACAATTTTTTTAGAATATTTGGTTCAAAATTCTATAATACTTGCATTGTACTCATGCAGTGCACGTACTTATGAACTAGTTATATTATAGATCAAATTTCGAAGTATAACATAATTTGGCAATGCCAAAGAAACCTTCTTCAAAGAGGAATTCTTGTTTGTTCACTTCGATGTCTTAAAAAATAGGAGAGTAGCTGCTGAAACTCATGAACCAGAATGGCCACTTCAGACATAAGAACTTTATGCATCCTAACCTATTGTAGCATATAGATTGAAAGGTTGATACTTCTACTTTAATCACTACACCAGATCAAGACTAAATGTAGTCTAAACTTTTTCAATCAGTATTAATCTTTGGTTGATCCACTTAATACGCAATCTTGATCAAAGTTCTTCTCTTCCCTACAGCACCACATTCTTCTGTGTTCTGCAGAATTGTTCTGATACTTCCACTCCACGTACTATTATCATAAAACAAAGCCTGCACCTAAGCCTACTTGGATTGTGTAATAAACCTCATACTTTAGGAAGTAAAACTCATAGACCATGGTGTTTAGAGGTCGATCATTATTTTCTTTCTTCAACTAAGAAACGCCACATTAGCAAGATTATCAAGGAAAGAAGTAAGAAACTAGTATCTACTGTTGACTGCTCAGAGGTGGGGGAATATAGTGTTGCTAAAACGTAAAGCATACACACAAGGATTACTAATAAATAGCTCAAGAGTATGACATGACGAAACAAAACCAAATGAATACAATTATTCAGTTCCACCTAAAAAATTTGCATGTACATGAAATGATGAATTAAAACTAATAAAGTTCAGAGCTTTTCTAGGCAATGTATCCAACTGAAATTAAAATAGCAACTACCAAATGTCAATCAAAGAACCAAGATATCAACTTACTTGACCGGCGGTTCCCTATCCAATCGTTTCAACTTATCCATATCATCATATGGGAAAATCAAATTCTGCAAGCTGGCATTTTTAATCCACCTAGGCATATACCTTTTCCCAATCAATGCATACACCCTTTCCCTCATTGGACCAGGAGACTCCCTAGGATACCTCTGCAAGAAAAACTCGCACATCGCCAATTCAAGAACATACTCCCCTAAAAAACCCAATCTTGAATGTCCTGACCTAACATGCCTAGCATTAGTCCTCTCACACTTAGGATGTTGAAATGCTAAATACAACAAAGTATCAAATTGTTTAGCTGGATTATCATCCCCATAGCTTTCAGAACTCTCTAAAGGGTACCCTAAACACTGTTTAGCTTCAATCAAATACTCATCAATCCATGTTTTATCAGCATTATTGAGTCTTGAACATGGTAAGCAAGAACTCAAAAGTGGAAATGACTTTAAAGACAACTGTGGGCTATTGAGAAATCTTTCAGCTAACTTAGCATCATCTAAAGGGGGTTTTAGTATGAATCTTTTTGGGGGTACTTTTCTCTTAGGGGATACTACTTTTTTACGCTCAGCTAATTCTTTGAGAAGCCTTTGGGGACTATTTTGAGGGAGCCCTTTCGGGTCTACTGCAACTGCTAAAAGATGAAATCTTGGACCAAACTTGGAACTTTTTACATGGGTTTTTATAGGAAAGTGTGACAATGAAGATGAGAAGGAGAGATCAAATGAATTTGGTTTGAAAAATGAACATAATTCCATGGCCATGTATAATGAAAAGGGTGTCTGAGGAACTTACTGAAGTTGATAAAATTGATAAAAATTAAGAATTTTCCAGAATTTGAAGGAGGTTTTTGCAGGGTTTTTGGTAGAGAAGATTGAAACAGGAAACAAAGAAGGAGATAAGGGCAGACGATAGGCTGAGGCGAAAGCTTGTTTCTGGAGAATCGGGTCGAATTTGGATCAATTTTTCGGGTCAAGTTATTTTTGACAACCTTTACATTTCTAGTTTTTTTTTTTTTTTCAATGACGTGATATCTGAACTAGCTTTTGCACATCTTCACTAATTTTATTTAGATACTTATTACCTCTCACCAATAACAAGTATAGGTGACTTAGTCTACCAAGATTAGGATAGATGAGAAGAATCACATAATATTTCTTTAATCTAAATTTCAGGTGATTTGTGTATCTACTCCAACAATAATATTGTTTCGTATTGTTATGGAAGAAGATATACACCTCTTTAGGAAGCAAAAATTAATTGATCTACTTTTATTTGGTATTTTGACGTATTTCATTATTTTTTTTGCTGACTTGTTTTGATATGTTTTACTTGATCGAGAGTCTATTAAAAATAGTCTCATAATTCTTATAAAATAGACTATTACACGCTATCTCTCTTGACATCACTTATAAAATTTTACTAAATACATTGTGATTGTTATTGTTGGTCATCTCTTCTTTTAAAATGTTTATAATTTCTTTTGAGATAATAGCTTTTTGACTCCTTAATTATTGATAAAGTCTAATTTGTTCCTCACTTCCTTGTAATCATTAATTAATTAAATTATGTGTCCTTGGTCCTGATGATAGGAAATATGTTAATGCCAGAGTTTAGACTATTTTTACAATCATATTTTATTCTCAAATAAGAAGTAATAATACCAACTTAACGTAACAAGTAGGTAATTAGATGATGAAAGGGTTAATAATTCAGAAATTTGTGAATATTCTTAAGTAAAGGGATCAAAACTGCACATTTCAAATAATTGAAAATTAAATTTACTTACAAAATCTAAAAATTAAAATTTTTCATTAATTTGAGGGACCAAAAATGTCATTAACTCAATTCTTCTTAACAAATGATTTTTTCAATTAAATATTATCATGTAGTCTAATCCAAACTTAATTAGTCACGTAAATGACGACGAGTACATAATATTGTGGATTAAATTTATCACACAATTCCTGCATGACGTTTGCATGTCTAATTTATTTTATCAAACCCTGTGTTCATTAATAATTGTTAAAGTCGACCATTTAATTAAATATATCTACTTTGTTTATTCATTAGCTACGATATCTTACTTTGATTAAAATAAATCCCATCCCACTATATATTAGCTGTGATATATTACAGTGAATAAAATTCCATTTTACTTATCTCTTCCTTTTAAATTATTCTCTCTCGGTCCTAGTTTATTTGATTTTCGAATTTTGAGATTCAAACAAGTCTACTTTTATCGTATTATTTTTCATACATTTTTTATCAGTTATTGAGACTTGTACTACTTTTTACGTAGTTTCCAAACATATAGAATTTATTTCAAAATACTTAAGATTCCATACATACATTCGCAATTAAACTTGAACAATTTGACTCTCAAAATATAAATTTTACTACGTAAATTTAGACAAGGGAGTATATGAAATTATTTGTCTCTAAAACATGTCGAGAGGACAAAATTTACTTTCTTGGAAAAACAATTAATTCCTTCGTTCCTTACACCATGGGGGCGTTTGATTTATGGGGTAAGGGTTAATAGTTTCAGAATAAAATATAAAATTGTTTTATTTTATATTTGGTTGAATTTTAATTTCTCCATTAAGTAATCATGATATTGGCGTCACTTACACTGTGTTATGGTTGAATTTTATTTTATATTTAGTTGAAAATATTGGCGTTCATGACGTATTTTGCTTTATTTAATTTAACAATGTGAATATATTAAGTCAAATGAAGATGACAAATGCATCTGGAAAATAAGATTAATTTCTGATCTCATTGATTATAAAGGTCAATTGATTAATCATTCTCTTAAATATAATTGGGTTAGTTTTACCAATTTGATTGGCCATAGCACCCAGACAAAGGCCTATTTTGGAACCGTCCCAATATTAATTAAATACTTAAGATGAAGATTTTGATTACTTAGTTGACTTGTTATAGCAATTTTACTAATTTTATAACTTGCAACGATTAAATGAGAACAACATGAATTTGACGCAAATATGTGATTTGAGATTTTCTTTAGAACTTATTGGACTGGCTAACTTAAATAATAAGAAATCACTATTTATAAAAGTTCTTTCACTTATGAGGCTCGAGCCTCAAAGTCGAAATATTTTTTGAGGATGAAGAATCTTATTCATATGATATGATCATCTCATATTAAGTTACTCAATTAGGAGACTTTATGTTTTAAGACCTTTACTCCTCACCTAATTATGTGTCTAGACATAAAATTTGAGAATTTTAAGTTTACGTGCTTTTAAATATATATTTTAAAAATAATTTATTGAATTCTGAATAAATTGTTCATAATTTTTAATTCGTAAGTAGAATTATAATTCCGCCCCTTACGTGCATATCTGCATGCTCCTCGTACATGCATGTCAATGATGTCATCCCCTTCAATGTGTGCTTTGTTTTCATCAAAATGACCACATAATTTACTTTGAAATTGTCAACTAAAGAGAGATGATCAATCTAATACTATTAAAAAACAAGAAATTATCGATAGAATAAAATTTCATAACTAAACAATAAAAAAAAACAGTTTTTAAGTGAAAAATTAAAGAAGCATCATCTATAAGAAGTAAGTGTTTTAAATTTTTTAAGATAAGATTATCATATTAAACTTCATGTTTTTCAATGGTAGTAACTTTTATTTAATTTTAGTTTGACACTTATAATATTTTTTTGAAAAGATTGATCAAACACAAACTTAACAAAAGTAATTCTCAAAATGAAATAGCTAAACATAGATTAATTCTATAAAAATCATTTTCTTATTTGATATTTTTTTTAAAAGTACTTCTAAAATTAAATATTTCTCAATGAAGCAAATTAACGATCAGCGATCAATCAAAATGACACAGAATTATTGAGAGGAGTCCACCAAAGTAATCATGTTCAATCTCTTCAAGTAATCTGAGTCGTCCATTCTTAGCCAAGATCAGAATCTAGCCGGCAAAGGCACAAAAGGCATTTTGTAGATTATGATTTATAATCATCAAACGGCTGCACGTGTAATCTTGATTATGCTTTGCAGGACCACTTAATCATCACCAACTATAATTATTTTTAAAAATCCTGACAATATAAATTCTTTTACATGATCTGAACATTTTAATAACTTAATATAATAGGTAACTTACATTATTTTTTAAGACTTTATGAATAATTACCTATAATTATCGTATAGTGATTAAATAGTATAATGAGATTCTTTTATATATATTAAATCAATGTATAAATAGGTTAAACTCATAAAAATTAGTGCGTGTATATAAATAAACATGAAATGATCAACCCTAAAAATAATGGGGATTTGTATTCTAAAATTTTAAATTTAAAGGTCATAAGTTTGAAATTTGCGCAAACAATTTAGATTAATATTTAAGTGAAGAAGGTTTGATTTATGATATGTGCTATTTGAGTCAAGGGTGGAGTTAGTTTGGGGCTAGGGGATTATCCGATCGAATCTCCTTCGACGAAAAATTATATTATATTTATACATGACTAAAATTATTTTTTGTGTATATATAATAGATGATGAACCCCTTTTGGCTAGTTTTTATGCTTACTTTTTCATATTCTGAACCTCTTATTGAAAATTTTGGCCCTGCTATTAATTTAAACTGATGATCTATCAAAATCAATCACTCTATTTTCACAAAATAAGAACAAAGTCGTGCACATACATTTTGATTACCTTCTTAAATCCAACTTGTGAAATTACAATATGTGAGGTTAAAAGAACAGACTCATCGTCATGATTCATGAGTTTAGAAGACTATGATAAAGGTTTGACTTCAGACTTTTTTAATCATAAAAAAAAATGAATTAATGCATGAAATGATGGGCATTATTTAAATTTTTGTACAACCAAACAACACATAATTCTCACTATTTTCCCTTTATATATATTGCCCACTTCCAAACATTATCATCATATATCATCTTTTCAACCTATCTTTCTCCTTAATTTCTCTCAATTTTTGTCCTCTTTTTTCTTATTTTATTTTAATTTCTTTCTTCTTCTTTACAATGAAACAATATGAACAAACATTTCCAAGTACCCTTCAAAGAACAAGTAGTTGCAATAGCTCCAACAAGCTTATAATTCCATCAAATTACCTAAATTCAACCAATTCTTCAATCATTCATCACCCTTTTGAGGATAATTTCTCATATACAAATTCTTTTATTCATCGAAAAAATCGCGGTGCAATAAAAGTCAACTTTAATTTTTTCAAGTCTCTTCTAAAAATTATTTCCTTCCATACTATGCTTCCAACATGCATGTTTATTAATTTCCCTACACGTTTTACACCTAATTCATGCCGGAAAGTCACCGGAACTTTGTTCGGTAACCGAAGAGGCCACGTCAGCTTCGCCATTCAAGATAATTCCACGTCATCAGAGCCTAGCCTTTTGATTGAATTCGCCATCTCAACGTCTACTTTGGTCAAAGACATGTCATCGGGTCTGGTCCGAATCGCGTTGGAATGTGAGAAAATGCCACGTGGCAGCAGGCAATTGAGGCTCCTCCAGGAACCTAAGTGGGCCATGTATTGTAACGGAAGGAAGTGTGGGCACGCGCTTGCCCGCGTGTGCACGGACTCTGATAGGCACGTGTTGCACACTGTGCGGAACGTGTCGGTTGGGGCCGGAGTGATTCCGGTTGTGGGTGATGGCCGGAAGGGTGGCGAGTCAGAAGGTGAGTTGATGTATATGAGGGCTAATTTTGAACGAGTCGTAGGGAATTGTGACTCGGAAGCTTTTTATATGATGAATATCGATGGAAATGGAGGGCCTGAACTTAGTATATTTCTTATTAGAACTTGAAAAGAAAATAAAATTCAAATCTATATATGTTTGTATCATTATGCGTGTTATTTTATATTGGATAAATAAATTTAACTCACCTTGGTGTTTGTCATAAATGTTTTTATTATATCATCATTTTGATTTCCATTTGATATCGTATTAGTTTTGAACTTTGATTAATTTAAATTTACGAATATTATTAAAGAAGAGAAGTTTTTCAAATTGGTAATGTTATGTGGCACCAAAACACTAGTTTGAAAATAACGTGTTGCGCCATTCAAACGTGAGATTACATATGCTCTGAAAATGCATCAAAATGGTATATTTGTTATAGTTGAAAATGATTTAGAATCCCCACACCTTTAGGGATCCGGCAAGTCCTTTCCATTTCTCCAAGTTTTTATGAAAGACACATGTCATCAGAGGCGGAATCAGGATTTGATGTTTGTGGGTTCTAAATTTTAAAACAGAACAACATAGTAATCTAATATAACAATCTTTAAATTACAAATATATATATATATATATATATATATAACCACAAACATATAAGCATATCATTAAAATTGCACTCGACAAGTTGTTATGTTTTGAAAACAGAAATGATCCATCATTTGGTACACTTTCAAATACTTCATTTATTAATATGAAGATTTGAGTTATTTATTTCAAAGTTCTAAAATACTATTGGGTAAAAGGTAGATAAGTGTTATATTTTAGTATAGATTTTGATCATTTTTTTTTCTTATAATCTCAATATTATTTTAAGTAAAATTAAAATTATTAAATTCACCATTAATATTTTCAGGACCTAAAGGAAAGGTTTTACTTGCTTCACCCTTGAATCACTCTTGCCTTGAAAGTTAAAGTTCTGAGAAGCAAACAATAATTTAATTAATATAATCAATTATTAATACGTGGAACAGTCTTAAAATCAAAGATTAAAAATAAGATCTTTGAATAAATAGTTATACAATGTAAAGACAAATAAAAAAAAGTAAAGAAAAGGGAGAGCAGAGGAGGAACTGAGAAGAGTAAATAGTACTTACCGGGATAGAGGTCTGCAATTTGACAACAAGCAGTAACAATGATGTAGGTAGATAGTAAAAAAATTAGAACTCTAACTTTTAAAAAAATTAAATTTTGGGTTTAACGTTTTATTGAATGCTTCAAAAGAAATCAATAGTGAGATGTTGTTTTAGAGTATGACACTATATTTTTGTTACTTACAATTATCTATTTTGAAATTAATAGTTAGATGTTGTTTTGGAGTATGACACTACTTTTTTATTATTCTCAATCATCAATTTTCTGTTTTATTGTTTGAGAAAAGAATTTAGAAAAATCTATATAGGAAAAAATGAATTGTAGGAGGGTAAAAGATAGGCACAAAGCACAGTTTTAACCCAAAATAAAAAAATTTGGAAAAATTGAATTGTTGCCAGTGGGGCTCGAACCCCCAACCAAAGACTCAAAACTGCTCGCGCTTACCACTACGCTACCAACCATAGTTTGATGTGGGCTTGCACACAATACTAACATATATGTGTACATGATTTTTTTTCTACGTAAAAGCCAATGGGTTCGTCCGAACCCCATTGAACACTATAACTCCGCCCCTGCACGTCATGACATGGATTAAAATTAATAATTATGATTTAATTTAATTGAAACAAGGTTCTAAATCACAGTAATCCCACAATTATAGCTAGCACCAATTATTTTATCCATAAATATATAATTTAAAATCTCTCTGTTCCTACTTAGTTTTTCTATGTCGTTCTTCATTTTCGTGCTTCCTCATAAAGCCACAATTTATTTTCCAATTTCATTGTGGGATTATCTTTTAATTTACGAAAAATGACCTAAAATATTCTCAAAGTATTGAAAATGGTACACAACTATTCGTATCCACCTATTGGCTCCCAAATATCCTTTCCATCCACCTTTGGGTTCAATTTTAGCCACTTCATTAACAAACCACCATTTAAAATAATTAAATAATCCTTTTAACTACATGACGCTCAACCATTGGTTACAATTTAATTATTTAATATAATTTTAAACTCATCCATTTTTAACTAAATCCGCCCCAATACTTACTAAACCTGCCCGCCCCGATACAAAAAGAATCCATCTAATAAAAACAACCCTAAAACTTTCGTTCCCAATATACACTTCATTTCTGATTTCCCCAATTTATTTCAATTTTCTTCCTAGATTTAGAAGATCAATGTTCTTCTTTATAACAAATCGAAGAAGAAGAAGAGAAATCACAAAATAGTGAGTCCCTTGAAGTTCAACAAAATAGTGATTCTTTGATAGGACATAAGAGTCATTACGTAAATATTGGTTGGTTTTTTGGTCTAATTAAAAAATGGTACACCTCTAAAGCAAATAGATTCAATAGCTTAAAGAAGAATAATTAAAAAGTTCTTAAAATACCCTCATCTACGACATGTTGACGAACATGCCTGCTTGTAGACTCTTATGCTATGTAGTAATTACTTATAAGTAGGGAAGGCAACACTTAAATATTTTTAATAACTAGGTTTCTTTTAATTATGCTAATTAATTATTTTATAACAATATTGATGATTATTTTAATAATTTATAAAAGCTATTAATCACGATTATTATTTTTTGCAGCTATGATTTTTGGTGTTGCCAATTTTACTTACAACAAATATTATTTTGTCACGAGAGGAGAAAAGAGATCACATGTGTGGAAGTTCATAAATCTGGTAAAAGGAGAAATAATAGGAAAGTTCTTAAACTAATAGGTATGTATTTTATTATTGAAATCATGGTTACATCTTGTTTGGATGGTTGTTACACGTTGTATTATATTGTATAGTTAGTTTAAATATCATGTTTGTTTTTATTGTTATTTAAATTTTATCGTACTGTATCGTTTAAATCCATCTGTAGGTAGCAACGAAAAATCGTAACGTCTAATTTGGTGTGATCACGTCGTTATCTTAATATTTTCTTCTCATTTTATCTTTACTTATTATTTAATAATCTTATTTTATTCTTTACAGTAGCTTTTCATAGCTAGCTCTATCTCGTATTCTACTTTTCATAGGTTTATCATTCAAACCATTGATGTGTGATATATTTAAAGACTGAAAATGATACAATCTATTCAAATGCCATATTAATTAAAACAATACATTAAAATACAATACAATATAATACGATATATTATGAAACAATAGATAACAACCCTCTAAATGAAGTGTATATTATTTTAGTTAATTAAATTTAATCATTAATTTTAATTTATATCACGTGCCTTTCATTTAAGTAAGAACTCGAATACAATGAGACAAAAATAGAGAGTAGCTCCGTTCAAACTTTAGATATCTACTTTTATATAAGGAATTTTGTGTACTTTTTCTATAAATAAATTGTGTTTTTTTTTGCTTAGAACTATAAATAAATAGTGCTAAGTCAAAAACCACATGGAAAAGTAGATCTTTGTCCTCCTAACAATAATGCATTTTGTAAGATATGCAGTACTGCAAATGAAGGATATATGTAATTACCATATTTTAAACATATTATATAGTACAGAAAGGAAGATATTTTAGATATTAATTAAAGCAAAAGAAAGGATAGAAGACACATTAGGTGTAATTTACTGTGGATGAATAATGTCCACCAATTTCATTAGGTGTAATTTGTTGTGGATGAATATTGTTCACTAATTTCTTTATTTGAATAGGTATAATTTATTGTGAATGAATAAAATACATCAATTTTTTTATTAGAAATCTCAGATTTATACACTTAACATTAAAAAAAAAGAAATTAAAATTTTATTGAGAGCATTTCCCTTGGTCTTAAGCAGAAATCAAATTAGTCGGAACTTGAAGTGATAATAGACCCATAGATTTTCATTTTTCACCAATTGTCTATTTTATATAATTATTTATTAATAATGACCCCTTTTTTTTTTATAACTTATGAACCTTATAAATTACGTACGGTGTAAAAATTCTCTTTACAAATTAAATATTTTATAAGAATATATTAGATCACATTTAAATTTTTGTAAATTATTACAATTAAGCATTAGACGGGTGATCTAATATTAGTTTGTAAGATTAAAAATATACAAGAAAATATTAACTCCGAATCACCAGACCGAAAGGTTATCTCTTAAGGATTATATTTACACAACATTTAAAGAAAAAACAAAATCTAAATGAAAACCTATAAAACTATATTTGCGAAATCAATATATATATACACTTTATATTAAATTTAGTGGCGTAGCTACCCTTATGTCAGGGTGTCCAAATTGGACACTCTTCGTCGGAAAATTATACCGTATATACAAGTAAAATGATAAACAAAGTGACTAAATAACATATTTTGAACACCCTTGACACAACAATATGATGTAGCCTAGTAATTTTAGGTGCCTTGAAAGAGTAAAAACACATAAACTTAAAGTGTTCGTATGTTCAAATCTCACTAGTAGCAAATATTTTTCACTTTTTAAAATGTGTACTTCAGTCATATTTAAGATGGTTGAAACGTACACGTAAGTTTCCCCCTTTTTTTTAAATTTATTATTATAAAAACTATAAGGATGTAAGATGCATAGAGAAAATTATATTGGTGGTGCCAGGTGTCAACTAGAGATATTTTCTTCAGATATTTATACAAATATTCTCGAACTACTGTCTTTGGATAAAACACATAAACATAAGAAAAATAAAAAATGAATAAACTAAGTATTAAAACATCTTCGACAAGACTGGTACTTTTCGGATTGGTTTATAATACAGCTATGCACTTTTTCAATATATTATAATTATAATTAGTTCTAGATATTTTTTTTATTATATTAAATAAACTTGGTTAAATATGAAATGGATCCAAAATGAAAGATCTTCACATGGTCAAGATGCACTTTGTTAGGCTGGCAAAAATGTCAAATTAGATCAGTACTCACTGTTTATGTTTGATAACTTACATATATAAGAAAACAAAAATATTATCGATAAATAGAAGGATATTTTGTTTATTAATGTTTCACAAAATTATATTTCGCCATACATAATTAGGACAGTTTGAGAAACACGTTTCAATGGATTTTATATTTTTGTGTGTGTGAATAGTTGGACATTGTTTCATTTAATGAAATTATGAAACTAATTCAACTAAAAATTAAAAAAGACCCTTCGGATGGCTCAGTGGTTTGGGCTTGGGACTTCCATCAAACCACTCAAATACGAAGCTCCTTATCAGCGAAAGTAAGGAGTTTGACTGAGCTCGTCGTACTAGACTTGCCTAGTGCGGATTACATTTCTTGTGTGGTTTGCATGTTATTGCATAGAAATGGAAGTTCTGCCCGGTTTTTAAAAAAAAGAAAAAAAAGAGAGAACAAAATGAAGTTTAATAATAATTAGTCTTAGATTAGATCGTAATAGTGCAATGGTGATTGGTGAAAGATAGAATTTCACATGCAAGTTAAAATAAATTAAAGGACAATAATCTTGGATGTTGCTACAAAAAAATTAACTTCATAATCCAAGGAAGATATGTATGTACAACATAAATTATAAACAAGCCAGGAGAAAATAATAATAATGATGTTGTCATTACATACGTGTGTCAAAAAGTACAATTTTAATAATGTTCAAAACTTCAAATGATTTTGTATTGTCGTAGAAGATATAAATATCATAAATATTCTAAAGAAAATTTTATCGAAGAAATCTAATATAGCGTCAACATTGCAACTCTTGATGTAAAGATAGTCAAAGAATTAGTTGCTTAGTGTTTAACCATAAATTTAATTGAATTTCTATTTAAAAAAACGAGTTCTTGATGTTGAAAAATAATTCTATAAAATTTGAAATTATATTTGGACATTTATTTTATTTAAAATTAAATTGAATTTTTGTGAGTGACATGAAAAACTTTATTTTTTTAAAGATAAATTTTCAAAAACGGATAGAAATTTCATAAATAAAATAATCAACCCAAGGGGTTAACTCAATGAAAAAAGTCGAGGGAGTTGGCTTGTAGGATAATATTTAAATGAAAAAAAGAGAGTAGAATAACTTATGACCATCTCCGAAAGTTACATAGATCTAAAAGTTTTACTAAGGAATTTAAAAAATAAAAATGTAATGCTTAAGATATAAACTTAAAATGCCAAATTTTGATCTCCTAAGCCATTACATTAACCTCTAATCTTGTATTTATGGGATTCAAAATTAATATATATAGATGACTTATACTCAATCCGATTGTTGGACCCACGATCCAATTCGGATATTTCATAAATGTTTCATTTGAAAGACAGCCCATGAAAATTAACAATACTATATTGGTTTAATCGCCCCTAACAGATCGAACAACAAAACTGATCAATTAATGGTTTCGTTCTCCCATCGAAAGGATCAAAAGCGCAATAAAGAAAGATAGATTCACAGTGGGGTGACGTGTCTAAGTTTCCTAAGTTAATAAGTGAATACAACTTGTGTCACTTTAATTCGTTGAGGAGAGACAAAGGTTTATGAAGAGCTTGACAAGGTCGAGAAAGGGTGTAAACTCCCATAAAATTGGATTAATTTGAGAATTGTAAAAGAAAGTGAGTTTGACCTGGAGTGAAGCATTTGACGCGGCTATTAGAGACCTATTAAAAATTACCTTATGTATACGATATAATTTTTTTTCAAGGGGTTCAATTGAACACCCTCAGCCAGTGTCGGCGGAGCTAAAATTTTCATCAAGAAAATTCAAAATCTGGAGAAATATAATGAACACATTAACTAGTCAAAGATAATTCAACATCTCTATATACATATAAAATATACTTTTAACTACATATAAGTTGTTTAAACTCCTGACTATAAGCTGATTCTGCTCGTACCCTCAACCCCATCTAGATCCGCCCCGGCGCAGACCAAAGATGGGCTTCCAATATAAAAAAAAAATTGGTTATGGGCATTATTTTAAAGTTTGAAATAGGCAACACATGCCATAAACGTCCATAGTTTCCCTTTATAAATATGTATTGCTCACATCCAAATATTTTCATCATCTTTTCGTCCTATCTTTCTCATCACTTCTCTCAATTTTGTCCAATTTTCTTATTGAACAAACATTATATTAACAATCAAATCCTCATAATCAATCTCCTTTGTTCTTTTTTTCTAATTTTACAAATATGACGATGATGAGAGAATATGATCAAACATGTACCCTCCCAAGAACAAGTAGCAGCGATAGCTCCAACAACTTAATTCTCATTGCATCGGAGTACCAAAGTAATTCTATCATTCATCACCATTCAAATAATTACTCATATAATTCTCCTATTCCTCATAAAAATCGCGGTGGAATCAAAGTCAACTTTAATTTTTTCAAGTTTCTTCTTGTAAAAATTATGTCCCTCCACACCATGCTTCCAACATGCAGTACGTGGCTTAAATATTTCCCTACGACATATCTTACACATCATAACTCATGTCGGAAAGTCACTGGGACTTTGTTCGGTCACCGGAGAGGCCACGTCAACTTCGCTATCCAAGATAATTCCACGTCATCGGAACCGAGTCTTTTGATTGAATTTGCCATGTCAACTACCACTTTAGTCAAAGACATGTCATCGCCACTTGTTCGTATTGCGCTCGAATGCGAAAAAAGGCCACGTGGCAGCAAGCAAGTGAGGCTCTCCCGAGAACCTAGTTGGAATATGTATTGTAACGGAAGGAAGTGCGGGGACGCGCTTTTGCGCGCGTGCACTGACTCCGACCGACACGTGTTGCACACCGTACGGAATGTGTCGGTTGGGGCCGGAGTGATTCCGTTGGTGGGTGATGGACGGATGGGCGGTGAGTTGGAAGGTGAATTGATGTTTTTTAGAGCTAATTTTGAACGAGTTATAGGGAATCGTGACTCAGAAGCTTTTTATATGACAAATCTTGATGGAACTGGAGGACCTGAACTTAGTATATTTCTTTTAAGGACTTGAAAAGAAAAAAGAAAAAAAAATAGAATCCATTTTTGTTTCATTATGCATGTTTTTATTTGTTGAATAAATTTAGCTCATCTTGATGTTTGTCGAAAATAAAATTCTATATATGCCTTCAATATATGTTCTTATTGTATCATCTTATTGGTTTTCTTTTGACATGTGTATTCATTTTGTGCTACGACTAATTTAAATCCATATCACATAATTAAAACCTATTAAAAGGGAAGCGTTCGCTAGTTGCTATTTCTAGTTTGAGATTCATACCTTCAATTTGGAATTTGACAAAAAGTGAAAAATTCAAGAATGTAATATTTATGATTTTACATTATAAAAAAATGTTGAGAAAAAAAAAATAGTGAGAAAGAAGTTGGAAAATGGTGGGTAGCAAGTCATATAAAAAAAGTGAAAGTAGACCTTAGTCCTCCTAACAATAATAATCAATAACTATATAGGACAGATTATCAAAATATAAAGAAAAAAAGGAAGATATTTCTAGATAATAATTAAATTAATAAAAAAGGAAGATATTTCTACATAATAATAATAATTAAAGTAGAACAAAAATATTGGAGAAGACACATTAGGTGTGATTTATCACGGTGGGGTAAATAATAATTTCTAGTTTTTTACCACAATCTAAAGATCCCTTTGAACATACTAAAAATCTTCTGAGCATATGTTTGTAAGCTATTGTAAACTTTAGACGATGATTTAATATTTATCTGTAAGGTTGAGAAATATATGAGAAAATATTAGACTGATTTAAGTCTAATAAATTGAAAAAATAATCTCGTAAAGACTATATTTACACAATTTTTAAAAACAAAATCTAAATAAAAACCTTAAAAGTGATAGTATTTGTGTAGATCACATCTATACCTTTAGTCATCTAATTTACAAAATATTAGGTTATTATTTATTTCAATCATGTTTGACAAATTAAATGGCCGAAATGTAAACACGTAAGTTTCCTTTTTATTTTATAATTATACTATAAGGATTTAAGATGCATGGGGAAGATTATATTCTTGGTACCAACTAGAGATATTTTTATATTATACAAATCCTTAACTACTGTATTTGGATTAAACACATAAACAAAAAAATGACTAAATTAAGTAATCTTGGCTTGAAGATATTTTTATTGTAAAAATATCTCCGACATGAAGTGGATTAATATATTTCCCAGGCTGGTACTTTTTCAGTTGGTTTATAATACAGCTAAGTACTTTTTCAATATATTATTAGTTCTAATTAGTTCCAAATGTGTTATTAATATTATATTAAACTTGGTTAAATAGAAAATGGATTAAAAAAAATATGAAAGATTGATTTTCACATGGTCAAGATGCACTTTATCAGGCTGATCAAGATATTTTACTCAATAAGGTTGATATTTAGATGAAAATAAGATATTATTATCATTATATCAATAAATAGAAAGATTTTTTTTTTCTTAATTGATACGTTAATTTTATTAATTTATAAAGTAATAAGACAAAATATTCACGGAGATAACAATTTCATATCTTGAAGTTTACGTCTCACTCGTGTTAAAAAAAACATTTTACCTTTAAGTTCGTGTCTTAAAAGCACCAACGGCTAATAGGAGTTGGAAATGAAATTTGATCATAAAAACAGTCTGATGCACTAAAGCTCTCGCTATGTATAAGATCCAAAAAAGACCGATATAAAATCCTACTTATGCTACAATAATGGTGAAAGATAAAATTTCACATGAAAAATAAAGGACATTAGTCTTGGATTTTGCAACTACACAATTGACTACATGATCGGATCAGCAAGTACGATATGCATATCATATACAATAAGCAAGCTAAGAGAAAAATAAAATAATAATAATGCTGATATTTCATACGTGTCAAAAAGTGCAATTTGATGATGTTCATATGGTTTTATTATATTAGAAAAACTACGTAATTATAACTAAGTAAATACACAATCTAGCGATGTTTTTAAATACTTGTCTAATATAGTTATATTTAGGATTTTATAGTATAACTCTCCTTTCTTGCTCGCCACTCTCTTCCCTCTCTCACTTTCCATTATTAATATTTTAGACTTGCGCTAGTACTTTTAATTCACTTGAGGCAATACTTGCTACTCTACCTTTGAATTGTGAGTGATACCCTTTCGATCTTTCTCTAATTATTTTTTACCTTTTTTGTAGGACGAGAATAATGATGTTTTTAATTACGAATACGTAGTGAGGAAGGACAGCGAGTGAGAGGGACAATTTTAAGCAAGATGCATTCATTAGATAAAATGTATTTGAAGGTAAATTCAGATAAGATATATAATTATTGAAGCTATCGTTTTATCGAGTAAGTCACACCTATAGATAGCGTGCTTTATGAAAGTTTCTCAAATTGAAACTCCATCACAATTGCCTTTTTTTTTCAATTAAAGGATCGAAAATGGCTATTTTGTGAATTTTACCATCTGTTTAAAAAATGGCTATTTTGTGAATTCTCATTCCGGATCATTAAGAAGAGGCCCAAGAAAGGATCCATTTACCCAGGGTTTAAGAAACTCCATTTCTACTGTGAATGGAAGATTCAGGGTTTAAGCATAGAGAGAGAGAGAGAGAGAGAGTGTGAGAGAGAGATAGTGTGGGTGTGTGTGTGAGAGAGAGAGATGGGTGGAGGAGGAGCGGCGAAGGGGTGGTTAGGGCAAATGGGTTTCACCAAAAGTGGAGGAAGCATCAATTGGTACCCAGGGCATATGGCTGCAGCGACTCGTGCAATTCGGCAACGTCTCAAACTTTCTGATTTTGTAATTGAAGTTCGTGATGCTCGTGTATGTTTGTTTACTTCCTTGCTTGATTCTTCCTCAAAATCCATGAATTGATCATTTGTTTTGATGAATTTTGCTCTTATTGGGTCTAATTAGTGTGTGTGCGCGCCTGCAGATACCGTTGTCGTCCGCGAATGAAGACTTGCAACCGATGCTTTCTGGGAAAAGGCGTGTTATTGCTCTTAATAAGCAGGATTTGGCTAACCGCAACCTCATGCATGTATCTAATTTCGAACACTCATCTTCATGAAGTAAAATGCTAGTAATTACTTTGTCAAACTTATGTTTTTTTGGTCCTTTTTGGAGCTTATTACCCCGAAATGCATCCGATCACCTCGAGAATCGTATCATTCATCCCCGAAAGTCATAAACAGCTAAAAGAAAGCTATGGAGTCAGCTTAGTGGAATAGATTTATTTGCTCAGGTGTAAAGTCGAGTGCTTTGTACCTTTTCATTCAAGTTTTTTGAAAATAAATGTGGTGTTCGGGCTAACTTGCGTGTATATTGACCAATTCTAGGGGTACCTGCTACTTTTAAAGAAATTATCGAGCGTGTTTGCTTGGATTTGAACCTAAGACCTCAGGGTTCTCAACCCACTTCATTTGACTATTAGTATCAGGCCACAGCCACAGCCACAGCCACACCTTTGGGGCTTGGGTGCCTATTGATTCAAGTCCTTTTCACCATGAGAATATAACAATCATATTAAAAGGGGAAAAGATAAGCTTTCCTTTCTGAAATGAGCATCTTGATCAATTTAAATTGTCTTAATGAAGTCCAAAGATGTGCAACATTTGGTACTTGTATACCAAGGGTCTACCAAGAATAAATAGAACCTTAACAAAGAATCCTAAAGTTTGCATCTTTTGTTCATGTATGTATTAACATATGCTTGTCTATTAGCGAATGCTATAGAAATTTTGTTTACATTATGAGATACATGGCAAAGACAATGTAGTTACTTATCTCATTGACATTTTATGTTTTTTCTAACAGTGTCTAGTTTTACTTAGAATCTCAAAGCTGTTTAGTCTAATGTATGCCTAGCATTTGTTGTGTTACTAGTTAGTTCTTTCATGGAGTTGTCATTAGCATTGAATATGCTAACAATGCTACTAGAATGCAATTACTTTGACATTACTTTTCTTATCAACTTTGAAACTTTGGCTTGTTTGAGGGAAAACTTATAGGAATTGTATGAATCTACAAGCTGCTTGGTATTTGCTTTTCAAATTTTAGTTGGTGAAACTTCTGTTTTCATTCCATGCAGAAGTGGATTAGTTATTTCAATTCACATAAACAAGAGTGCCTCCCGATAAATGCACACAGTAGAAGTTCTGTACATAAGGTTAGTCATCCTTTTTTCCATGTTCTTATTATACTGAAAACTCATGATTCATACCCTTGGTATTCATAAACATGCCAAAGATGGAGCCATAGTTACCTGTTAACTCTTTCTTGTAATAAGAATAATAAATGCTGATTGCGATCAATACATTAGACTTTCTTATAAGCATGTAAAGCATATGTTCCATATGTTCTATTCAAACATCTAGTTAATTGGATCTTGGATCAAGAAATTTGATTTTTTTATAGGTTGCCAGTTTGCATCTCTTCTGAGAGTTATTAATCCAATTTCTATGATTCATATTCCAAAGCTTCTTGATCTGGTTGAGTTCAAACTGAAGGAGGTTATGGCTAGGGAACCTACTCTCCTTGTCATGGTGTTAGGTGTTCCTAATGTTGGCAAATCGGCTTTAATCAACTCCATCCATCAAATTGCATTATCTCGATTTCCAGGTGAGGCTTGTTTTTGTTGGTGATTCTTTTTGGGTGTTGTTATGGGAAGCTGATAGTGACTATGTTTTTTAGTGTACTTCCTATTGAGGGTTATGATCTTAGTGCAGGAGAAGATGAAGAAGGCTAGAGTGGGGCCTTTGCCTGGTGTTACTCAAGATATTGCTGGATTCAAGGTTAGATATATTCAACAACATAGAGGGTTAGATTATGCCGTTGTTGCTTGTTTCTTAATGGCAAAGTGGGTTCCCATGTTGGACAAACTGTAGAAGGCAAGGTGTGCTCTTGTTTTGCTTATTCTTACTGATGTTAAAAATGCTATTCCATACAGATTGCACATCGACCTAGCGTCTATGTGCTGGATTCTCCGGGAGTGTTGGTTC